GTACAAGAATTAGCCAGATGTGGCTGTGAATGAGGGAGGCAGTGACTAATAGACAAGGAGTAATTCAAGAATGGAAAATCGTATAATAACAGTTTATAGGTTAAAATAAAGCCTATGATAAGAGAGACATGAGTATGAATAGTTTAGTTGATCAACAATTATGCGGTAAAAATATAAGTATAGTATTGGTCCACAAATGGATCCCAAAGTTACCATTCATTATTCTTATCGGGGCATAACAGTAAATGAATTTATAATAATCAAAGTATCTTACAGTTTACTATTTCTTGTTATTGAGAGAAAATAAAAAAGGATGATATTCAACCATTTGAAAGTAGTTGAACTTATCGCATTTTAGCTTGAGATAATGGATCATTGTGTACTTTACCCCCCCTCTCCACAAACACACATACAGCCTGTGTTGTGAGCATTGATTCAATAACCTCAAATATTTCGGGAAAATCTGCTGTTAGCCAGATTTACGTTCAAAAGATTGCTTTTTAACAGTGTTATTAGTTATTATGTATAAGATTTATTTAAATATAAAGTTTATTAATTATCTTGATTAACGGTGTAAGTGAAAGTTGTACAACTATGACAAAAAGACCAACATAGTGGTCTGACAAAAACTACAACGTAGAACTCTGTAAAATCATAACATCTGTTTATTTTGCAATAACCTAGCTATTCAGCGCTTAATATCAATACGGATTAAAAAAGACACAAGACATCAGTTTGGAAGGAATAAACAGGTTAACAACAATAATAGGCTTATTATTTAGTGGGATAAGTCTGAATAATTGTGATTACTTTCGATTTAGACTGATAAATGCTTTGAACTCCAAGATGTAATCTGTTGACTATTACAATGCCTATATCTTATGATGTAATACAAAGTAAATTGACTATGTGACTCATATATTTGATTCGAAAGCCTTTACATTTTCTTGTTTTCTTTTTTAATTAGTACTGTAAGGCCAGTGAAATATCACAGAATTTCGAACAGTTCACTGATCCTCGTCAAGGTCAAGAACAGCCAGGGCGCCTTAGTTAATTGTACGCCATGAAATGGCTCATGCAACACTGGTCACACTCTGTTCCATGTACCTTCTCTTATTAACATATTTCTATAATAACGTCGTTTGTGTCGTAGGGTCATCAAAGCAGTCATAGAACTTGGATATAATGAAAGGGTAATCCATGTTAGGTACTAACCGCGAGGTATGACTTTGACGTTAGCTGGTTGTTCAAACAATTCCCGTCTAACTTGAATAGGCATACAATTATTCGACGCAGATAATCTACGTTGGCAATCTACAACATTATACATTGCAGTAGGACAATGTACTCAGAACGTGCATATAAATACGTTATCCCTGGAATCTGGTTTTCGATATCAGTGTCTCGATTTACTAATGAAGTATCCAGACCAATGAAGTGTTCAGTGTCATTCTTTTACTTAATCTTGTATTAATAAACTGGTTTTTGGTAGACATAAGTTCTAGAATTACAACTTCCGCTAAGCAATCTTATGAACTTACATGCAATTTGTGCGCACAACTTTATCGTTGGTTGGTGTGTCCGTGGGTTTTTAGTCTTTTAACTGCCTCAGTGTTCTATCAAAGAAAAATCGATTTGTCTCAAATTTAAAACCACTTAGTCTTGTCAAAATATTCTAACATTGCTAAAATTCTGTGTATAACTTTACATTTAATGGTTAAGTCTTCATTATCAATTCATTCTCACTTTTATGGATTATGAATCATTACTACTTGTAAGTAGTCAAAATGTAACACTAAAACTTATATGATCGTGTAAAAAATAGAACTCGAATAAAATATCTGTGAACAATTTGACAAAATAGACAAAAAGAATATGATCTTATATCCACTGGAACAAGTTTTTCCTGAAGAAGAAAACAGAACAAAACGAAAAAATGGTGACATTTTTAAAAAAAGTTCAATGACATCTTTTCATTGATGTTTTTTTCTTTTTCGACAATAAACGAGAGTGAGGCACCAAATGTGATGGTAGAGATAATAGTCTGTACAAAAAGTAATTGACAATAACAATAGTAGTAATAATAATAAAGTAATTTTCATCACGTATTTCTTTTATGAGCTCGTTCGAACTATATTTAGAAAAACATCCTTTAACACATAATTCGCACTAAAGATATTTACTCATCTTCTAGTGTTAGAATTTTCTCGTCTGAAAACATCTAATGTCTGTAATGATTGGCTAAAAGTTTCTGTTCTGGTTAAAAGTTCACGTATATTTTATTTTTTAAAAAATAGATGAATTTTGTTCAGTTACTGGGTTCCTTAATGTAAAATGAACATGAGAGAGTGAGAGGGAGAGGGAGGGAGAACAAGAAGAACTGGCGAGTGATGAAACAAGTTAAACTTTAACTTGACTTCACCAGAGATATAGTTAATGCAAATGTATCATCTTCCATGAGCCGTATATGTGATTACTATTTTTGTGTGAGAAGGATACGGGGAAAAGAATATCAGAGACAGGCGAATAAATAGAACGAAGTTCAATAGATAGAAATTGTACCAATCTATAAAGACAAACAAACAGATAAGTGAATGAATGATCTGAAGGATAAATGTGAAAATTACATTTCATGCACAGTATATGTAGTCATCTACAAATATATAATTTTAGATTTCTAACACAGCTAATTGAATTCTTTCTATTGAAGATACGCACAAACCAACTGATCAGTAAGTAATGATTTAAATGATAGACAACGCTAAATGATTTAACATAAATACACGCGCTAACATCTTTATGGATAATCATTCTATTTCCCGGTCTTGTTTTTTTCTTGAAACACACATGTAACGTATCCTATTAAGAGGCAAAAGAGAAAACTTTAAACAAATGTAAGTCCTAAGTTCGAATCTCGCGAGGTGGGATCATGGATGCGCACTGCTGAGGAGTCAACAATAAGACGAAACGATTGTTCAGTGCTTCCAGGTTTTCCATGGTGGTGTAGCTTTAATTGATTAATGATCTCAACTATTAAAATTACTATAATATCCCCAAAACCTCTTCTGATACAAATATATTTTTGATTAGGTGTGATAATATTGGATTCAATAAAACAGTCAATCACTTTGCATTAATATTATTTAGACTGAAATTTAACAAAATACAATATCATACAAATGACAATAATTATAGCCAAAATATCATCATATCATTCTAATAAATATTCTTTATGTATTTTCAATTTTAATTTATAATGATCATTGTTCTACTTGTTTTACTCAAACACAACATTCATTATAAGTAAATAAAGAAAACGGTTGAAATAAACATTTTTACATTGATCGTTTGATTTTAAGGCTGGTTTTTGCTTATCTACATACAGAAGAGCAATTGATGGAGAGAGGAGGGACAATGGTTTTGTGATATAAAATAACACATACATGATTTGTATATTGCCAAATGGTATAAAGTAAGATTTTCAACATTTTGCTGGTAAGATGACTTTAGATTACTTTCAATGTTTTAATGTGTATACGTAAATGTATTATGCGATCAATGAAGATAAATATTATCAACTGGACGGGATAGTAAGGACAATACGAATGTGATGAAACAGTAAATCCAAACATATCGTGACAAATACAATATTGATAATGCTACTCTTGATGATAAGATAGTAAATGACAAAAAACAGTCAATATATTGGTAGTGGGTTAGTGGTGCGCAGAGTGAAGAGCAACTCAAATAAACACAAAGTAACCTAATTCCAATTCTTTTCATTTTACTACTCCGTCAGTAAATTGTAAAGTAATCCGTAAACAAAAACAAATTTCCTTAGTGCATGAGTACACATATATACGTGTACATATTTTCAAAGGTAATGGCAAACTGAGAGTTGTTCTTAAGATATATATATATGAAATGAAGCCTAGAAAAATATGATAGATCCTTTCTCTTAAATAATACCTTTTTTATTTGTCATTTTGCAAAGACAGAAAGGGTCAAGTTTCCTTATTACTCCTTGTTCTGGAGTTCTTTTTCTATTTCCATTTAATCTTCTCAAATCTTATCCAAAATTTTATGACTTTCATTTCTTCACTTTTCAGCCAATTCCAATTTCGGTTGAACGTATAAAGGATAAACTATATTTTGCTTTAAAAATAATTTATATTTCAAATTTGAAGTGCACAAAAGTACCATACGTTGTTAGTTCAATGAAATACCGGTATAATGTGTATGCGTAATGTCATGAAAATGAACAAAAAATATGTTACACTATTAGTTAAATAATTATTTATGAAATGAGGTATGATGAAACTTAATAATCTGATGATATTAATAATAAGAACAATAACAGTAATAACTCGTTTGTTTATTCAAGGTTATGAAAAAATAATTCCCATTAATTTTCATTTGTTTTATTGATAATTCTGAAATATGCGCATGAATATGTGAAAATAGGGATTAAAACTGATGATAAACCAAATCACAATTAAATGTACTGACAAGCAGTGATATTTTTACATTGTTCGTTGACCTACTTAAACATAGATGAGTAGTATACTTTGACTAAAAAAACTGTCCCCACCTTTGAAATATGTAAGAAAGTTCTATTTAAATATCTTTTTGTATGACATAAAGTCTTATTAACGTTTATAATAACAACAATAATAATCTATAAGACGAATCAAAAAAGCATATTTATGACCGGGATATTCGATGATTTTAGTGAATAAAAGAAAAATGAATAGAGTAGCACGTTAAAAAAGTATGGGGTTTGTGGAAAGGGGGTCATCTGTTTTGTAATCTAAAGCAAAACCAGCGTATATATATATATATATATATATATATATATATATATATATATATATATTAGAATGTTTAAAATTTGAATTGAGATAACAATTAGTAAATATTCCCAAGAACTGAAACTCTCATATATCAATCAAACTGTACAGTCTCTTCTATTCATGTCAATAAAAATAAACAAATGTTATTTAAAAAGCAGGAAAATAACATTCCCTATTCGTTGACTTATTATTAGTATCATTACTACTAAGATTACCATCATCTTTGTTAAAATTATTGTTATCTATTGTATTGGGTTTATCATTTAATTTTTCTTTCTTTAAACATTTGCTATCACCATTTTCTAAAATACTATGACCATTTTTATTACGACGATTTGTAAAACAGCCTGCAATTACTGTAGCATGTGCATTTTTACTATTGTTATTATTACTAATAGTATTGGTAGAAGTAGTAGTAGTACTGTTAGTATTATTATTTTTACATTTTTCTATTGTATCTTTTGTGTTCAATTCAAACACAGGCAAATGTTGTGGTGTGTACTGATGTCGACGTCTTCGTTTACTAGAATTGATTGTTTCTAAATGTTGTTTTTCTATAACTGTTGACGATAAAGAAGAATTCTGATCTACAGTTTCTTCTGGTTGACTTTTTTCACCTAAATAAAATGGAGTTTGATCATTGAACTCTGATTTTAAATGATACATTGCTTGTAGATGATCATCAACATTACAACCGACAGTATCATTGTTATTATTTTCATTGGTTTTATTTACAACAGTTTTTTTATTAATATCAACATTGTCATTATCATCAAAAACAGTATTCTTATCATCAATGTCATTATCTGCATCTTCGCCATCACCATCATCATCGTCATCGTCATCACCATCATGATCAACATTATCTACATCACATATATTCGCTGGTGATGTTAATGATAACATGTTCATTGAATTCTTCTCATTACTACTATTGATAATATTATGATGTTCATGATGTAATGATGATGATGATATAGTCAAGAATTCATCACCATTCTCCATATCATGATTTTCTGTTTGATGATGACGATTTTTCGAACGATTATGTTGGTAATTGTCGTTTGAGGATAAACTACGTTTCAATGAACGATGATTCATTAGAGTTGTATCAGTGTTATTATTCAGTTGTAAATTCTCACAGATAATTTTGTCATTAATGTTAATGTTATCCAAATTAGTTATGTCCTCGTTATTATTATCATTATTACTGGGAAATAATTGTTCCATATCGATTGATTTTAATTTATTAGACATAATATGTTGATCATCGGTTTCATTGACGTCATGTAAGTTAGATGATTCATGTTGAAGATTTAACATAGACTCATTATCAAGTGCATTACGTTCACTATTGTCACCGGTTAACTGACAAGTATACTGTCCATGTTTCAATGTATTTGAAGTCACATCATCGGTTCTAATAGGCTCGATTCCTGGTGATGATAATGATGATGATGATGACGATGATGACCTTGATAGCGGTATCCCATTATGAAGGTTACCATTACATGATTTGGTCTCCACGGATGTTATTAGTCGTTGTGTTAAAATTTGCGATGAAATTGGCGATGATCGTGATCCCGTTGTTATTGATTTTGTTCCTGACGCTGATGATGATATAGGTTGACAGACTTGATTTCCATTGAGTGGAGATTCTTCAACGTTAAATATGATTTTTTCGGCTTTACTCAAATGATTTTCGTAATTCAAAACACAATCGGTCACAGTGTCGGGCTGTTCATCGCGTTCAACCCCATGGGTATCAATAATTTCTATATGGTGATTTGATTTATTGATTGTTTCACTTTGTTCATTATCATCAATATTTGAATTTCCATGAAATAAAAAGTCATACATAAGATTAGATGTACTAATATCATTCTTAATACTATTATTGTTATTACTATTTGTTGAAGTATCAACATTATCATTGTTGATTACATTAATGAGTGATTCATGGTTATCTTCATTCATGTGCTCCATTTCATCATCATTATCATTATGATTGTCATCACAATAATTGACTTCGTTGCTATTGTTCTTCTTACTACTAGTTACTACATTATTATTAATATCTTTAATTCTATCATTATTAAACCACTTACTGATAGAATCTCTATGATCAAGTTTCACTAAACTTTGACTAAATTCTTCAAATGTTGATATATTATCCGATGATGATGTTGACAAGCCACCACCTGTTGAATTGAATACACCTGGTGATGTTGGTGCTGATGAATAGTTATTATTTACATGATTATTTAATAATGTTTGATTGGAATGAGCTTGTGATAATCCAATACGTAGTTGTTGAGGATGATGATAATGTTGTGAGTGACTATTAGTCGTAGAATTCGAGGTTTCCGACAATTTTTCATTATTATTACTATCGTTACTACCATTATTATCAACCCCTTCTACAAATGTATGAGATCCAGTCAAATGATTAGTTTGAGTCGGTTGTAAACAATGTTGGTGAGCCGGAGGCGGTAGAAGCTGTGACGACATTGATTCATTATGTGAATGTTTGATATGAATGGTATCATCACTACTATTACCATTGTTACTGATACTATTATTATTATTATTTATTGTTGCATGAATATGTGAATGTTGTTGAGTAGTATTAGCAGTAGTAGTAGTACTAGTGGTAGAAGTAGTAGTAGTAGTATTATTAGTACCATTGGTCACTGCTGTCATTTTTTTCGGTGGTGTTGTTGAAGTAGTCCGAGTTGAAATATAACAATCCATTGATGATGCCACAACCGTCGATGGCTCAATTGATAAAGAACAAAGATGTTTTGTAGTTGTCAAATGATGTTGTGTTAAATTGAGTAAATGTTGTTGAGTTTGTGAATCATTTGTTACTGGTGACTCAGTATAACGATGATTTGATTGCGGTGATAAAGATGATTTCATATTAGACTGTCGTTTAGATGATGATGACGAAGATGATGATGAGGAGGACGACGATGAATGAAGATTACGTTGATTCGTGTGAATATGCTGTTGGTGTTGTGGCTGTTGTTGAGGATGATTATGATGATGATTATATTGTTGTTGAGATTGTGAATGATGATTTGATGATATATTATTCATAATATTTGAATGATTAAACGAATTTATATGTTGATTATCATCTGTAGTAAAATGTGTTCCTTGTTGATGACGATGAGATGCAAGACACTGTTGTTGTTGCTGTTGTTGTTGTTCAATTACAGCTGCAGCGGTTAAATGTTCAACATTTGAATCATGGACACCTCCTACCGGTAAATGATGAAATAATCCAGCACTGGACATTGAGCTATAATTTAATTTATTATGTAATAAATCACACTCATTAGAACTAGTCACTCGTGTCTCACTGGAACATATTACATTTGGACTAAAAAAAGCGCATGGATTCTCAATATCACCATTACCAAGGCTAACACCATTAACACCACTACGATTGCCAACACCAACTCCAACTACTCCATTACCACTCGCTACAGCCGCGGCCGCCACAGCACGTAGATGTAAGTCTTGATGTGCATGAGCTGCAGCGACAGCAGCCGCCGCAGCCGCTGAAGCGGCGGCAGCAGCAGCAGAAGGGTGTGGATTGTGTGAATGAATACTGCCGCCACCGCCTGCTCCTCCACTCCCATGTGAATGACGGCTACCGGTTATATGCGAACCTGAACCTGACTCAATCATATTTCCTCGACTAAGTGCTGACGCAGCAGCGGCAGCCATTGCAACTGAATGATTATGGAAACCAGCAGCAAATAGATTATCCACACATGTTTGGTTCCGTACATTATTACTATTGTTGTTATTATTACGATTAGTGTTATTACTATTGTTACCATTATTAGTGTTTGAACCATTTCCGTCCATACCAGCCGTAGCAGCAGCCTCTTTATGACGATCCACATGTTTTGCTAAATATGTTTCAGAATTATAATTTTTCGTGCATATTGGACAGACTAATACCTGTGAAGAAAATAGAACAATTGATAAAATCAATAAAACTTAAAGTGTCAATTTTGTTTAACTTTGTAATTATACAAGATTTCTTAATAAGTTAATTTATTTATAGGATAACGGGGATTTGTTCATGTACACTGATCAATCTTAACATGAATTTAAATGTAATGAGGAAGAACTAATGACAATTAGAGGGAAATAAAATAAAATGTCCAAAATGATAGTACAGAATGTTGTTCAGTATGGGGATTGTGAAAGTTGTTGAGTTTTACTGAGATTACAAACCGATCTAGTTTAGACAATCATTGGAAACCTATAAAAATTGAATAGCGCTTTCGTCCTGGTATGAGACTCTTAAGAAGTGAATCAGAAAAATAGTCCAAGGGAGATGAGTGAAATTGAGACATGAAAATAAATTAATTAATAAATACTTGTCAGACTTACATAGAATCTCAGAGTGAACATATGTGTTACAATCACTGATTTCCTGTTAGCTCACTTAAGGTCTGAAAATCGGGATTATCATTATCTAATTAATCACATCCAGAAGATCTGTATCTCGTGATGGGGCATAGACTAAAAGCTCATGATTTCATAATCTATTTGGAGCCACGTTCCTTTTTCTGATCATCTTTAAAATTAATTCAACCTAAATTTAGTCAGTACAAAATCAGGGTACATGGTAATTAAATAATGTATTACATTTCTCCACCCCCTATTTCAACGAAGATTTACAACATCATTGATCTGTTTGTCATTTTTGCATAGTAATTTACAAGTGGTGTCAGTATTGTTCACATAATAGGTTGCCTCAAAAACACTAATGATCACATTGCTAAAGTTCATGCAAACCTTTTGTTTTCGATTTCAATTTTCATTGTTTAGAATACTCACCACTTGATAGTCGGATAAACCTTCCCTACTTGTTACAAGACGGTAAAAATGAAGAGGGATTTTTGTTTCTGTGTCCAGATATTGTCGTCCGTCAGCCCAAAATAACTGGCAAGAATTCTAAGATTAGTGAGAAATGATCACCATGTCCGACCACGGATAAACATAGACTAGTCTTGAAGCAAACTATTACACTCGGAGAATATAGAAATCCATCACAAGCATTGCTTTGTTATAAATTAGTGTCTAAAATAAAAGCAGACTGTAAATCTTCAAAAGGCCAGATGGAGACAACGTGTCATCAGTTCAGATGACCTAAACAATATTGGCGAAAATTCAGAAACAATGATATGTTTCTCTATGTTCTACAAATACAAGCTGGTATTATGCTTAATTCTTCAATCTTTCACCACATTTAATTCTTTTGAACCATTTCTCCTACTTACATTTCCATTAATTTCTAAGTCATTTCCCATCCCAAACCACTCGTTTTGTTACGTCAATGTAAAGTGTCGCGACTTAAACAAATGCACACTTGTGCAAGGTTTCACATCGATAATGACCTTATATATATCAAATAAAACGAGTTATTAATAACCATCTAAACCATCTGGTAAGCCTGTTTTACGTTATCTGTCCTTATTCACTTCCCTTCGACTACTTTGTGTATTATTTTATACTATTTATTGATATTCAGTAAATAGTTGTATTCCTAGCTATTTCTACGCACATGCTGTAACGCAAGTTTGTCGTGTAATATTTTGAAATATTTACATATACTTAAAATATTTATTATAATTATCACTATAATTACTTTATCTCAACCACTGTGGCAGTTATTCTCAATTTTGTGCAACCGCTTAACTCTCGTTTAAACGCAACAGTTTCCATATTACTTGCTCTTAGTTCGATTTCTGCTTGCTGATAAACAGTTATCAAGTTTGAACAGAACCAAAGGCTGTCATTTTTGCCCTGTCGAAGCCTTTTCATTTCAGACAAAAGGACACAGTAAACGCCATAGACACCTCACAAGTTGAGGTTTGTAACTAATTTTTGTAAATTATTCAATAAAAAACCGCTATTTTAGACAAATTCTTGCTTTGTGAACTTCGTTTTTTGCGTAGATCTCAATTGGATGATTCGGACGCCTCGATAGACTCAACACCAACTTTAGTTCTAATGAACAGTATTTTCTTATGTTCTTATGTATTTTATAACGTTTATTATTCTGATTACCATCATTATGTAGGTGTGCATACATGAAACAATATATTGCCTATTTAACTGCAAAGTATTTATTGTGTAACGAACTCTGTTGGTTGCCATCATCTCTAAAATATACATGCTAAAAGACACGTATTTTAGATTTCAACAACTGAATTATTTTTCACAGATTGAAATCGAGTCGGTTGAAGCTAGACCACCATTGAAAACCTGGAAGCACTGGACGGCCGTTTCGTCCTGGTATGGGACTCCTCAGCAGTGGTGCGGGATCGTGGATGCGCACTGCTGAGGAGTCCCATACCAGGACGAAACGGCCGTCCAGTGCTTCCAGGTTTTCAATGGTGGTCTAGCTTCAACCGACTCGATTTCAATCTGTGAAAAATTTCTAAAAATCTCCACAAACCCCTTCTGATAACTGAATTATTGACAAGTAAGTAGTATATGGTGTCTATTTATCTTTGTTTAAAAAATTATAATTTTGTCTTTCTCATATTATCATTAGTTGTATTATGTCAATTATTATTTTGAGTGATATAATGTCTCAATTTCATTTACTACTTAATCAATTATCAACAATGCGTAGAAGGACCATGGATTTGTTATAATTCTTATCAGTAAAACAAAAATGTGGTGTTAACGAAGATATAAATTAATAGACAGAATTTTACTTTGTAATTAAATGGAAATTTAAACATGAATACAATTTTAAATGGTACACAAAATTTAAAAAATGCGAAATTCAGAATGAAACCATACATTTAAGATTTGTACGAAAATGATAGTGAACGATTAACAATGACTATGACATAGTTTGACCAATCTAACCCAACGTCTCCAAAAATTGATTTAAAGTACTTGAAAGACCTTAAGCAGGAGAGCAAATAAAATGTCTATCAATGAGTTCGATAATTGAAGATAGCCAGTAAGACACCATAGACTAGGTTTTATGCTAGTTAGAACTCTTCAATCAGCGTAGCAAGCTTGTATTCATAAAAGAACTGATATTCCTTATGAGGCTCGAACCTGAGTCTAGGATCTTCACAGGATGGTTATAATTACTATTACTTAATAGGCTATTTAAAAGTATACTAGAAACGCTAACACAAAAATCGCACAAAAATTTCGACTTAGTGTCAAAAAATCACAATATTTATTAAAATTACCTTTGTTTATCACAAGGTGTGATTTATTCCCTTATTATTCATACTATGAGTTGTATCTTCCACATATTTCAGCATTATAAATTTAACCTTATTATTTTGACTACAACATCACATTATTGAGTGAACATAATATCTTAATAATTAGTGATTACATTAAGAGAAATACCAGACATCAAATTTAGTGGTATTTTCAAGACTTGTCCGTTGTAATTATTCGATTACCTGTATCATAATTCCTAACTGTTAGTATTGATCAAATTCTATCTGTGATGAAATACGAAACAAAGTGACGTTACACAATGAATTTAAATCTGTGGCAAAACCTTTGTTCTACTTAGATTCCAGCTATGTCCCTTGTTAGTGAGTGATAAAACTACAATTATGGCCTACTTCTTGTTTAAGGTTATCTACAACCATACATCACATGTCATTCATTCAAATCTGAGTTTAGAATTCCATAGCTGCTCTACTTAAAAAATTTGATTTAAAGTGTTACCATGTGTTAAATAAGTCTAAAAAAATTAAACACAATCTACTTATCGTTTTCAGTATATGTTAAAATTATATTTGAAATAATCTCAGAGATTGAGATTTAAATAACTCCAACGTTTCGCCCAGCTAACTTGTCCGGACTTCTTCAGGGTTAACCAGATAAAACGTTGGAATTACTTAAATTTCAAACGCTGAGATTATTTCAAATATATTTTTCACATATAATGACTTCTCTTTACTCGACACCCGATTTCTGTCAAACTATTCGTTCTAATCTTGACGAATAGTCGTATAAATACTTATCATTTGTTTAGTGTTACATTATAAACTACTTTTCTATAATTGAGTAACTTAAGTTTCATCTTATTATTTTTGTGACTTCATTTCGTTTAGGGAGTGCTATTCCATGTACTGTTAGTTCCGGTTAGCTCTTATCTCTCTCTTTTTCTTTTGCTTTCTGGTGTGTATATTTAAAACTCAGCTAAAATTAAAAAAGTTTACTTTCGTCGAACATTATAATCTACAAATATAACAGTCTTGTATCTTTTTTACATTCATATAATTAAAGAATTTATTTTTCCTTTCGGTCTGAATGAAACTCAGAAACACGGCAATTTCATGTTCATAAACTGTGAGTATTTAATTTGTTTTTTATAATTACAGCGTAATTTTAGATAAGATTTATGCATAAATTGGCGATCAAATTATCAACTGAAGCATGAATGCTACAAATAGTAATTTGTATTTGTTTACTAATCTTAGAGACTAATATATTGCAACTCGTTTTTTATAGATCTCACAGTAAGTAACAAAATCAAATTCAAACCAGCTCTCTTGGTGCATAAAAACCGAACTTTTCAATCACTACTGCGCTACAACACTCAAGACGTCAAAAGTATAGTATATAGACGATCTTAAAGTAAATACGAAGAATTCTCATTGACTAAAGTTCTCAACAGGTCACTTTGTTCGTGAGTGAAAAAACTATAGAATATAAACTCTTGTAACAGAACACAGATTATCCGTTATCTTGAAACCTTAACAGAATGCAAATTGATTTTTAAGTCTCTAACTTCTTTGGTTAGAATTAGGTATTTAGGGTTAGGGATAAAAAAGTTCAAAGTTAACATTTTCATCACAAACCGACATCATCTGCTAACACAAAAATCGTTTGCAGCTTTATAGATACATGAATTTCATATAAAAAATCCATTTAATCCTATTATTAACCTAATTAGTTTGTTCATGAATTCTAGTGCTACCAAATTAGTTTAGTTTAGGACTAAGAGTTCAAAATAAAGATTAAGGGATAGAGCTGACTCGTCCGTATTACGTCGAGAGAGATATTAAGCAAAGGTAAACTTTCTTAACGGTCCTTATTTGAAGTTATTGTTCACATTTTTTTGAATAACTATTAAATACTTAAACTATTGTGCTCATGTATTTCTCTACATGTAAGCTTTTATTTGACGCATAAATTATTGTTGTTTGTTTTACCCTTCCCAAATTATTGTTAATCTATTACGGACCTACCACTTAATACTCTTTCACTTATGGTGTATTTATGCCAATATTATAATTTCTTAATTCTGTTGATCTGTGATCAGGATTTTGCTCCATACTACTGTATGAATGATTCAGAAATTCTAATTGTATAATTAGAAGTTGTTTGGTTGCTAAGTTGTTCTCCACTCTGGATATCGGGCAAGCAAGCGTAGAAAACTATATTCCGGACCAATAGTCAACTTGGTGTTGCTCTCAGTTATCCCACGTTTAAAGTGTCATTGGTTAGTTGAAGGTCACTAAAAGTATATAAGTAATCTAAGCTAGCTAATCAATACTTTGACTTGATTAATACAACTGCTTTCCTGTCCTACGGTCCTGTCTCATGGGCCTCATATAACCAAACAAGAAAATATGTTTATTCTCACCAAAACATCAGCCTGTTATGCACAATTTGAATAAAACAGCTGATTGTTTAACACGCTTAACATCATCGTTTATCTCCATGGTAGCATAAAATAATTTCTATTTGTCAGTCTAAATGTTATGAACATAGATATTCCGGTTGTTTATTTTGCATGATCTAAACAAAAAATATCATTTGAATTTTCAAATTTTATGCAAAAGACTTAATATTTGTTTTCCTAGATTGTAAATGACTTACCTATGTCCCTAGACTAGGTATTTTATCCTAAAGACTTGCAGTTGTTCAAACATGATAAAAAGCAATAAAGGAGAATTAAAACAAGAGTAGGATAAAGGAAGGAAGTCCATAGAAAATCCATAGAAAACCAATTAATACATTTGATTTATGTTTTTTACAGACCACTCACAAATCCCCAATCACTTAATAATCCCACCATCGCCACTAATATATTTTGACGTAATCGCGTGAAATATATTTTCTTCTGATGATTCTGTTTTTAAAACAATGTTAGATGTTATCTACAATGATGCGAATATTTGTAAAGATTTCTTGTTTCAGTTTCTAGTGTATTGTGTCAATACGGGATTTATATTTTCCTTTTCGTCTTCACAAAGTTACATGCCTTTTAAAACAACCTTGAACTAATTTTTGCAACTTATTGCGTATCTTCATATATGTTCTGTACATTTTCTACTTGCTAAATCACTACCCACTAATTCCTTTTTATTGAACATTTAGGAAAAAATAACTCTACTTTGAACGCTGATCATCGGAAGTAACGAGTCCGATTAGTGAGGAATCTTTTGGTTGTATTGAGAATATGGTTGTGATATCTTTCAAACAATTGACAAGTATTATTATTCTTGTGAAACATAAGTCATACACTTTGCACTCAACTTACTCCTGATCTCTCTGTGTGATAAAACATGACATAGTAACACTCGATATTCAATCAGTAGGTAGCAGATTCGAATGTAGCGTCACTCACTTTGATTTCAGCATCCTTGAATGGAGGATTTGACTCATATATATATATATATATATATATATATATATATATATATATGAATCTTTTATAAAATAAGTGTAAACCAGGACAAGAATATTTAATTGCTTTCTATCAGTACAAAAAATTCGTTAGTTTAACAAAAATATGATATTCACTACGATATAGGGAGTTCATGAAGATTTTCGGATTTCATTATATGAACCATAAAGTGACCTTCTTGGTTAAGTAATCACTGAAAATCAGATAACACTGACATTGCAATATCTATCCAAAAACCAATAGGGACTGACCACGTAAACTACTGGATGCCGATTATGAGACTTGAAAGCCCTGGGTTCGAGTCCCAGTGGAATCGTGAACGTATACCGCTTGTGATTTCAACACTAGGATGAAACAGCTAAGCAATTGTTCACTGTTTCCTAGTCTTCGCTAATTGTTCAACTAAGATGATAGTCAAAGAACATGATTATTATTTGCGCGATAATTCGTTTCTAGTATGGAGTTTTTCTTCATGTGATTTGAATCAACACTTATGGGTTTTCAATGATTGTTACCTGACATCTTGATTTATTCTCCTTTTTTTCAAAAAACAAAACAAAAACTATGAACAATCAAATCAACAAAATTGAACCGAGAGACAAATTACAACGAAACAAGGAAACAATATTAATATTTAAATAAAAATGTGACAATAATTGTTTGACTATTTTGTGTTAATAAATTTTAAGTGTTTGTTTTTTTACGCACTTTTTTACTCACCTTCGCATATCGGTTACCCGAATGCTTTGCTTGTACGTGTACATCTAATTCTTCTTTTGTATCGAATGACATGAAGCATTGTTCGCATCGATATGGTTTACCTTTCATATGTTGACGTTGATGTGATTGTAAATTAGACATTTGTGTAAAACTTTTCATACATGTTGTACAACTATACATATACATTGAAAAGAAGAAAAGATATACATAAATATATAGAGAAGAATGATGTAATCACGTAAATAATAAAAGTAAAATATAAAACACATGAAAGTAAACCATTATATTTTGACTGTGTATAACAATGTGACAAACTTGATCATAAGGACGTTATTGGTGTAAATCATTTAAGAAATTCTTCTTCTTTTCCTCAGTCGACCTTGACATGTGATCACATTTTAAGAAGGTGTAATTATAAATCGAAGTAAATTAGTTATATCTGTTGATTATACCTTGTTTAATGATAGGATGAAGTAAACTAAGTTATTAATTCATTTCATATCAAGTACTATGAGATTCAATTCAGACAAATCTGACTGATAGTCTGACTGTAAATACAATTGTATTGAAAATAAGTGTATCTAAAATATCATTTCCATGAATTTGTTGTGTTAAATAAATCTTCACCTACCGTCCTAATATGTCTTCTTTGGACTGTGCTTATCATGGTTCCCTGTAGTAGCAAATTCAAGTTTTTTTTAAAGTGAAATTCTTTGATGATATTCTTCGTATTTCTTTCTCTCTCATTGAGATTATTTAACAATAGTGTAATAGTATATAATGACAAATGTAATAAATGTACTTGTTGGTATGTGTAAAAAATAAAACATAAACATGATGTACTTTATCATATTGACTGATTTCACTTATTGAATCCTGAAAATCTATTTTTGTTCTACGAGTTCATGAACAATTAGCATTCAACAGACTGAACTGTAAAACTATCTATCAATTATTGAAACTTGGGACTTCCAGGTTTAACTAATTTTGTAAGAAGGGATTATTTTCAGACTATCACTGTAGCGAACGAGATCATAGACGGAGATAACCAAATGTATCGGAATACAAAATTACAGAATCTCTTATTAAAATCTGAGAACAATACAGTAAATACTTAATTTGCAAAATATCCATCAATTGTCTCAGACGTTTTTGTTCCTTCATTTCCATTAAAATCACTATCTGCTCTCATTTTCTTCTCTTCGATCTTCACAACCTTCTGATGCCAGGCATTCCACTTTTATTTGGTGACACATACTACTTATATCTGTCGACATTAGTAGAACACACCACAGTTGTCATTCAAATAGTCTACAACATTTCTGACATTGATTAATTTGTGATATACTATGTGACTAACGATATGGATAATATCTATTTCATTCTTTGGACATGGTTAAACTAACTCTACTCAGTTCATCTCTTCCAATTTTTCACACGATCATAATTACGATAGAAAGATTTGTAGAAACTGTTCAATTTGAAAATAGTTCACATTACTTCAAACTGTCTGTTCAGTTGTCTAACTAAACCAAACCTATGGATGTGAACTATCCTTCAAAACTCTCTCTAGGAATATCCTGTTTTAATGTTGACAAATTATCAAGTTATATTTGATGATCATTGAGATGGAAGAGTGTTATTAATTGAAAAATTCAGTTAAGGAAAATATTAGGTAGCACTGATTAGTGGGTTTCACTTTAACTTTTAGTAAAAAAAAACGAACAAGAAAGATCGTTATATATCCTATTTATTCAATTTCAAATATTTGTTTGGTTCTATACTCTTAAAGATTTATGAAAATTGACAATGTTTTAAAAATATTATGAATAAAACTAAAGTATATAAGGAATGTAGAGCTTAGGAAACACGATTACCTTCAAATAACGTTTATCATTCACTATTATTATTTATTATGAAGATTAAGTTTTCATAATTAGTCTGTATGTAAATTAAATCCTAACTCTAACCCTAAATCCAAAATCTTATGATCATTGTCATCATCGTGACCTAATCAACATCTTATTTTCTGTATTCTCATTGGTTGAATTGGTAAAGATCATTTAAAGAGTCATGTTTATAGTTCAAGCTTTAAATCATAATGAATAGGTGAACATGATCACTGTTAAAGTAATCTAGAACTAAAGAGAAACAACAAAAATATATTTAATAATAATTTGAATACTAAACGTGATACATATGATGCCTAAATGATCTAAACTTAACTACTTCACTTCTGTACAAAAATGGATTTGATTAACCTACTACTGAATCACAAATGACAAGATGTTTGGCATCAAGTGATCACAGGTCTTAATATTGACTTCAACTTATAAAACACAATTATGTTATAATCCATGATAAAAAACGACCTAGTGTGACTCATACAATTGAAAACCGAAATCCTACCTATTTCCCAAATATCAGCATATAATGAAAATTATATTTATATTGTAAAGAGATAACCATCTTTGTTATGCTTAAATTTTCATATCTGTAAAAGTATCACTGAGTCATAACCGTGAGTATCACTTTCTTAGGTTTAAGATTAAAAATAAATGTAATTGGCAATTATCTAGTATCACTAGCTACATTTATTTTAAACTACCTGAATTATTCTCTTACATTCGATTCATTACGATGGCCAGCTTTTATTATTATTATTATTAGTAGTAGTAGTAGTAAACTAACTGTATTCATCATATTTTTTTATCAAATTCATTTTATCATAAAAAAGTGGAAATACTTAGGTTAAACTGAATTTTAACTGTTATTTGTTTATAAATAAATAATATATTTGTAATATCCCAATGAGTAGAAAATTAGATTTTCTGACGTTTCGTGACTTAGTGTAAGTCACTTCTTCAGAGAATAAATAACCAAATTAAAATTAATCCAAATTTGGGATATTACAAATATATTATTTACCTACAACAATCTACCCAATGCTCAATTTATTCGAAATCATCAAATCAAACCTTGGTAATGATACCTGTTATTTGTTTACATTCCAATTCTCTTAACTCAATGATGATCGTCTGATGTTGATAAAATATACTACTTTCATTTAGTTAATTTGTCAAATTGAATTTATTCATTGCCTGATTTGTAAAATCAATAAAGACTATTCAACATTGGTAGATATTATATATATTTTTCTAAGAGAAAAGTTTATTCTTTTTTTTTAATACACCTATCTAAATAATTTATTTAACTAACACAACTTACCAACCAACCGGGAATTCGTTTAGCCAATTTTCAACTAATCTTATTTAACTAAGTGTTAATATAATACTACTACTACTATTACTACTACTCCAATTTTTAAAATGAGGATAAGTAATTCTGAAGTTTGAACCTGTATCAATCTAATTACTGAACAGTCGAATGACTAAACTACTTAAATTTTCAACATGTACATGTTGAATTTTTTGAATTCAAATTGAAATCATGAACTGATCAATGTTAGATCACGATTGAAAACCTGGATCGTGGACGAGACCAACTGATGAATTCGATATTAGAATGAGACGACCATCCAGTGCCAATTTTTCCAATTGTGGTCTAACATTGGTCAATCCATAATCTCAAATAAAGCTCAACAATCTTCACAATCCTATACTGATATCTTAATTCTGTCAACTTGATTGCTTTCTTGTGTAATTCTCTATTTATTTAGTTATTATATATTTCAACCAGTCATATACATTGAAATGATTTAACATAACTGTTATCGGTCAACAAAGGATATTTTAAAAAATTAGGCTGATATGGAGTAACAACAACATACAAGGAAATCATTTAGCTATTAACTATTTAGTCGAAATAAATTGTGAATTCTATTAAACTCTTGCCTATCTTGAAGAGTAATGATTCTGATTAACCCAGGGACTGGAATGTATTAAGACAACAGAATTCTTCTATGTCTCCTCTCTTTTATTTTTTTGCTCTAGTATTTGACTAAACACAAAAGAAACGTCAAATTAAACAAAGCGTTTGTAATTTATATTTTTATAAATTTAAAGAAAATGTTTAATTTTTATACTTCCCTGGACCTATGAAGTCCTTTTTACAGCTAGTAAAGAATTAAAAAAAGGGAGAAATAATCATACAATAAAACCTGAAGGGATGATAGACGGATTCTGTATATTTTTCTATCTTTGTAACATATACATGGGTTAGTGTTTCAGATGGGGTAAGATAGCTGAACATACATGTCCGGAAACCAGAACTGACCTAGATTTAGACCATTTTTATTCTCCATGGCTATATATATGTATATATTGATCTATAGTCTGTCTGTATTCATTTGATTGTGCACTTGTGTTTATGTGTACGCACGCATTTCAGTTTAATGGATATATACAGTAATCATGCAAACTAGTACACAATACCAAAGACCAACGTTAAAGTACTTTGAAAATAAGCGATTATTATAGAAATCGGCAGATTGTCCCCGTCTAGTCATATATATATAAGTAGTAATGTTGTATCTTTTTTCTATAACATTTTTAAGACATTATTTCTCACCCCCCTCCCGTGTATTTATCATAGATATGTGAACATATGCCTCACCCCTTAACTCTTTTGCTTTTAGCCATGTTGTCTACTGTCTAACATACTTCTCTACTTATACTGACCAATTTACCAATATCATCTTCAGTATCCTTATTTCTGTCTCACTCTCACATATGTATCTTCAGTAGAATTGTCTTTATTCATTCACCTTAGAAAATCATCCAAATATTTATATATCTAAATCTACTCATAAACACATACTCTAACATGGTCTGCCATTTACTATCGGATGAATTTGTTAATAAAACTGAAATATAGAGTAAGTCCATGGGTTGACACACGAGAGTAAAACACCATTTGACCGATGATGTGGGGGGAGGACGATTAAAATTTAAAAAATCTTCACAAAAATACTACAAATAAAAAAATACACAAATTACCAAACTGAAAAAAATCAAACAAAATATAAAATAAATGATGTGAAAAGATCAGCATTGGATTCTTATCAATCACTGAATATAGACAATGGAATAAGAAAAAAGTAATTGAAACTTAGTGAAATTTGTAGATTCAATGAATATTCTATTAATAATTGTATTGAAAAAATATTCAGTGTAAGCATGAATCCATGTACATAGTAACTAATTTATTGATTTTCACATTATGTGTGTACATACATATGGAATAATAGTCGTGTTCAATATTTAAATATGAAAATAATAATAATAATCTCCACTTTGTCTATGGTTATATTATTGTAACGAAAAGATTATTCATTGTTAATGATCAATCTACCATTATAATGATTTGTAATGCTAGAAAAAAGACCTTGCCATAAATTTTCATCAAAAATTAAAATATCTTAAATGTTTTAAGTAAACAAAACGATTTGTAAACATGTTCAATTTGTTAATGATTGTAAATGGTTGTAGTTAGTTGTTAGTTAACGAATAGAAACGATGCATATTATAGAAATAGTAATAAAGAAAATCTAACCAACGTAAGTAAACAACAGCTCCCTAGAATTTCCTGAGATTTGTCAAGTTTGACAACTTTTTTTGGACAGATAAATTGTAGTTTTCTAATGAGCGAAAACACAAGTCAGGACAGCCACTGTATAATATATGTATAATATATGACAACCATAAACTGCATACTTCATTTGCAAATTTCTATCACTTGTCCTTGACATTCCGTATGACTATTCCAATTCATAATTTCTTTCTATTTTTTCATCTATTCAACTCGATCTTCTTAGCCTTCTGCTACCAGGTTTTCCTCTTCCGAATGGTGTTACGTGCCAATTATGTCGACAGATGTAAGCACCATACACCACAGTTTAATTGAGATCATGAACTAATCAATTTCAGATAAACATAGAAAGCCTGAAAGCACTGAACAACCGATTCGTATGAGATTTCTCAGTGACCAGCATCGAAGATACGTTGACAAGAGGGAACTTAACCCAGGACTTTCGGTCTCGTATATCAAAGATTAACCTCTAGTTCACTGAGCTGGCATCCAACGGTGTTAGTATCCAAATGAAATCAATCCATGATAATGCGTAACCATCTTCCTTGTCTTCAGTGGGTAACTGTCTCTCACTAGATACGGCTGAACTCCTCTAGTAACGTCTTCTCACTATAACCTTAAGAATTTCCTCCTGAAGCTGGTCATTAGTGAGCACATGATTACTAGTATCGGGTTGTGGAGATCGTTTAATTTCATTGAGATCATGAACCAACCAATGTTAGTTTATTTAACAATATCATTTTCCATATAGTTTATTTACCAACATTTTAAGCAAACATTAAATTAAACAGTTACCTTAAGACATTCAAATAACTAATGGCTTAACAGTATACGCTAACGCGTTTTCTTTCAGTCAATCTTAGAATATTCTTTCTTACTATTTTTACTCAGTGATCAACCACTATGAAAATCTCAGTCTTAGGGGATGATAATTTCGGCAACAGTAGCTTAATACTAACGCCTTTGAATTTAACATCTTATTACGCAGATCAGAACCACATAGAAAGCATTATATTCTCCAAATTCGTAGAAATTTAGTGCTTACTACAGAGAAATAGCTCGAAAATATAATATTTAGGGATCACCGTCAAATGTCATCAACCACTTAACATTAGATTAATTACAATAAACGATAAACAGCTATTTGCTATAACGGGGTAAATATTGAGCAAAAATGAACTTCTAGAACTATTCTATCAAATTGCCAGTTTATTTTTATTACACAATTCCAATTACTTGGATTATTGTATCATTTTATTTCCCCTGTTTGCATGTTTTCGTTGGACGCCTAAACTATTGTTCTGTTTTACTTTTCTCTAAACGTTGTTTGATAATTACGAACTTATCACTTGGTCGTCTTCCACTTATGGTGTAGGTATTCCTGTTGATGTATCGTCAAGAATTTACTCTATAATGTTGTCATTTGGGTCATAGAATTGGACCTATACAAATCGAAGTTGTTTAACGACTGTGTGTTGTATCCTATTTCGGTTATCGAGTGAATGAGCATAGGTGAACTGAATTCAGGATAACTAGTCATCGTTAAGCGTTCATCTTGGTTGTCATTTCAACAGCATCGTGTCACTTGAATAATGTAAAAATCATTGGTCCTACATACAATCTAAGTGAAGTAGTCAACACTCAAACTTGATCAATCCAACAATCGAACTATTTGAGCCTCGATACAATGCAAGAAATGTGTCACTATTATGCCTTCATATCACAAACATACACGAAAGGTGGAATATATTCCATCACCAGTTTCATTGTACTCTTTATGTACTTCGATTGAGTTCGCTTAAAGAAATTAATTAATAAAATACATTACTTATGGTCTCGATTAACAGTTATTGACTATTCATAAAAAGTTGTTCTAATAAGAAGTTGACTTAATCTATTTAGTTAGAAAAAACCCAGCTTTAAGTAATAAAAATATATGATGAGATAGTTTTCGATAGGAAATTTAACTTTCAAAGTAATCAAGTATGGTGCACAATTCACTCAGAGCCTAATATTCTTTTTCAACATGGATTAAATGAAGCTACACATTGATAGCTTGTTCCATGAACAAACCTGTTCATTTCCTTTGGGTAGCATACTTTCCGTAAATGTTATCTGGTGACAGGTAGTAGTAGACAGTTGGCGTTTAAATCCAGTTGTCTAGTCTTTTAAATAGTGATTGAATTCAATCAACCAACTTGCAGTATGGCCGTCATCAGTCTGACATACTTGATATCACGTTCATTTTATGGAGATATAAGACGATTGTCATAGTTTTATACCTTCTTACTTTCAACCAACCGAAATGAAACTACACGTTATGCATTCACGTCATTGAAATAATCTTTCAAAGATAATTAGATCGATTGAATAAACAGTATGAATAAAACTTGATCAGAAATTTTAGTATCATCTCAGGTTTTGTACTAGTTTCCACCCGAACAAATGCCTTGACTAGAATCTCGAAGGAAATTATGTTTACTTTATGATTAAAATCCTGATTCAAGACCAGTTTCACAGTTCAATCTTGAGAATCACTTGAACTAGTGAAAAAATGGTAGCTAGACAAATAAAATTCCATCAACAATGAACAACCAGAAGAATATGACATTTTAGTTACTACTCAGTGCTCATGTAAACTATGACTTGATATTATTTAGTTAATGTTTTCACTAAATTTGAATGGATCTGAAAAGACAGTGGTATGATCATAGACAGACACAAACAGGGAGATAGAAAGATGAAGATAAGAAATGAAATAAATTCACTATATATTCTCAGTTTGAAATCTTAAGATGTCATGGATATGAATCAACAGTAGTATCACTCAAGTACTACATGTAGATTCAATTTTAACAATTATTAAAAACTAAAAATTTTTATCTGGCACCAAATGTCAAATTAGATTGATGTGTTTCGATATTAACACTAGTGTTTTAGTTCCAAACTAATAAATAAAACACGTGAAATTGTTTAAATTAATCAATTGTCTTTCATTCATAAAATTTACATAATTTACAGGATCTTTATAATCAGCAGATATTTCGCAAACTTTAAAGAAAGTAAAAAAAAACATAAAAAAGGAGAAAAACATCAATAACTACTTACCGATATGGTTTTTCACCTGTATGTATTCTTTCATGTTGTTGTACATGACTTAATTGAGTGAAACGACGATCACAATAACGACATGCGTACGGTTTCACACCGGTATGAATACGTCTATGTTGTGATAGATAGGCACATGTTGAAAATTGTCTACCACATTGTTCACATCTATACGGTCGAGGATCTTGTTTATGAGTGGCGGCATTATGAGCAGATAAATCATGACGTGAAAAACATACCTAGGTACAATTAATAGACAAAAAATACCGATAATAATAGTTCGATATTACTGAAAGAAGAAAAAAAGTGAAATATCATTTGGAAATTATTTTAAAAAAAACGACCGTAAATCATATTACACTAGTTAGGTATTACACTTGTCAGAATATATTTTACAGATGAAACAATATCATTAATAAACAGTAAAATAACATTTTAAAAAGTACATTTTGGAATTAAACTGTTTTAATAAAGTTGTATTGGATTGACGTGAACCATTAAAAAGCAGCAGTCTCTGAAACAGTATGCCTCAACATGCACAATGGAAAAAGCAAAATCCTCATACTTGATGGAGAAAATATGGAAGAGTTGGAAGCCTTCACGTATCTAGGGAGCATCATCGATAAACAGGGAGGATCTGATGCAGATGTAAAGGTAAGAATTGAGAAAGCAAGAGTAGAATTCCTACAACTGAAGAAGATATGGAACTCAAAACAACTGTCAGCAAACATTAAAGTCAAGATCTTCAATGCGAACGTCAAGATAGTTCTATTGTATGGAGCTGAAACTTGGAGAAATACTACAAACATCATCAAGAAAGTACAGGTATTTATAAACAATTTTCTATGTAAAATGTTCAATATTTGTCGGTCTGATACCATCAGCAGCAACCTAATGTGTGGCAGAACAAAACAACTCCCAAAAGAAGAGGAAATTAGAAGACGCTAAAGGTGGACAGGACAAATTTTGCGGAAATCATCAGACTACGTTACGAGGTAAGCTCTAACTTGTAATCCTGAAGGAGAAAAAAGAGGGAGACCAAGGAACACATTGCGTCGTGAATCAGAAGCAGACATCAAAAGGACGAATAGCAACTGGAAACAACTAGAAAGGAGAGCCAAGAACATAGTTCGATGAAGAATCCTGGTGGACGGCTTATGTTCCTCCACGAAAGATAACAGGTGTAAGTACATAAGTTAGTAGACCACTAAATAATATAATCAAACGATAAGTGATATCTCATTAAGTACAAATAATTATATTCAGTACAACCATCATGATTCAATTCTCTTTATCAGTATTATATAATTTAATTCACTTGTTAATTGTAGAAAAATCCATTTTTAAAATGACACAATAATATAGATGATTATAGATAGTCGGGTCAGTTACAACCAAAATTACTCAACAATATTGTTTCTGTCTTCATTATTAAACTATACAAAAATTTGATTTCAGTGAAAACATTACAGTTTGGTGATTAAGGAAAAAAGAAATCGTACAACAAATAGTGTGAACACTTAAATCATTACACTTTGTAATCCGTTTACTAAGACATATTCAATTCGGATAAAATATCTGTGTATTGTTTTCGTCTTATCTTACAATAATCTATCAAGAGATAAAATGTCAATTATTTTAGCATGGATTCATTTTAGTTTATACAGAATTTCAATAAAAAACAACATTCATAAAAGTGATTATTTTTTCTTTAAGTTTAAGCACCGGTTCCCTCAAGATTACAAGTACACTTTGCTGACGAGTGCCAAGTAGCACGAAACCCGGGTCCAGCGTTTTCTGTCGACTATCTCCAACCACCATTTAATCTACTTTACTGCTAAGTAGGTTGTTACAACTGTGAAAATGCTGCTGATTAAGGGTAGTGAATTATTGATCGGACCAAAGACGCGCAAACACGTAGAACGACCTAGGGTTCTGATCGGTCCCGCTTCCCTGTCTAGCCCAGCCAGCTAAGTTCAGAACGCAAGTCACAGCCTCTGAGTTATGAATCATTATATTTCAAACATACTTTGTTTATATACCAGTCAAGCAGACCACAACGTACCATAAAATAGAAAATAACATTGTACAATAATGGCCAGTAGGAAAATGACACGTTAAACAAATATTGACCAATAAGATGATACCATTTCATGTCCAAGTATAGCATTAGGCTTAACAGGATAATTTTTGGGATATTTTCCTGAATATCCCAACATAGGTGTAAATGAAAAAAAACAAAAACAAATCAAAGTTCAATTCATTTTTCTATTGTTTTTTTGAATCTTTTCATTGATGTTTAGGACTGCAGTTGATCAGTCTCTTATTTGGCATATGTGCATCCTGTGCTTTCACACAGGCGAAAAAACTTCATAATAGGTATCGTAAGCAGAGATGGATGGTATGTCTAACTGACGAGTCCCAAATAAGGCGAAACGCGCCTCATAGATTCCACTGTTAGCCACTATCCATCTTTGCTCATAATGCTTGTGAATGAAGGTTATATCGATGCAGTCCTCACAGAATGTATATATGCCAATAAGAGACTGATCAATTACAGTCCTAAACATCAATCAAAAGATTCAAACAACCAATACAAAATGAATTAAAATCCCTCAGCATTACACAAACCAGTGGCTATTTAGACTCAGTAGCTTAGGGGATAATGTGATGGCGTTTGAGGAGATGATACTAGATTCGAGTGGACATCAACTTTGGGATACAAGTACATCCAGCTGACGAGTCCCACATAGGATCAGATGTGCGTCCTGGACTCTACTACTAGCCACCATCCATCTCTGTTTGTAAATCAGAGTTCAGTTTGTTGATTTTTTGTTCAGTAATGCAGTATTGATTGAGTATATATCAAATACTTAAGAAAATAATAATTATATTTACTACCTAATTTCTTTTCTCAAAAAATGGGTGAAACTATAATTTATGGACATTCGGGCGACGCTTAAGTGACTTTGAGAGTGTTTACCTACTTACTAGAGCTAAATGAGGGTTATAAAGCAGTTTGAAGAATAAGGATGATGATTAGCAGTTGATGGTTAGGGTTAGGAAACAGATTTAGGGTTTTCATCACGAAATGACAACAGCTATAATGCCAGGACTCTATTTAGCCGAATGGGTGAATGAATTTCGCACCAAAATTCAAGACCTGGTATGTTAAACCTGATTGGCTAGTCCATAAATTATAGTCTCGCCAAAAAGTGTATTTGTTTTTCTTATTTTAGTCAAATGTTGTTTAAAACATACAATTTTAATTAAATACCAGGTTAATAGAAAAATGTAATGATTATACTTAACTAAAAAACAGAAAGAAAATAATCTTAGAAATAATGAAAGAGAAGAGAAAAAACAAAAGAAAATCTTGAAAATGAACGGTTAATGTTTTCCATAGTATATGTGAATGAGGAAAAAAGGAAGAAAACAACTTGATTCTTTTACAATATAGAATAAGTATACTGTAATAATGATTGTATTTTGTAGAATTATTGTTATTCATGATATCCGTGTTCTAATAAAAACACAGTGTCACTAAATTATTCTGTTTTAAAACTACTTAATGTTATTGACAGTCACAAAGATCAAACATGTAATGAAGTCACATTAAAAAACTTTAGTTGGCCAATTTCGAAAATTTTATCTGTCCATCTGTATTCGGTTAAATGGTCAACATTTTGTTAAGAATAGTTTCTTAATAACAAAATTAATCAAATGAATATTTGATTAATTATACTACTTCGGCAAATATTAAAAAGTTCCATTGAAATCATGAACTAATCAATGTTAGGTGACGGTGGAAAACCTGGAAGCACTGAACGACTGATTCATCCTGGGATGCGACATTTCAGTGGTTAGTATCCACGATCCCACATGAAGTAATCGAACATAGAACCATAGGTCTTCGGTGCCAACGCGTAATCTTTACACATTTGAGCCGACATACGACAGTGTTAATGTCTAAATTCAATCAATCCACGACATTGAGCAATTGTTTTCCATTTCTTGAGTGAGTAACTGCCTCACGCAGATAAACTTTACCTGTCACGGCTTCCCATCAAAACTCAGGAAATTACCTCTTAATGCTAATCACCGTTGGATTCCGGGTTTAGTTATCTAGAGATTAAGCGTTGACGCACGAGACCGAAATTTTCAGGTTCGATTCCTGCATGTGGGGTCGTAGTTACAGACGACTGAAGAGCCCCCTAGTAGGTTTTCCATGACTACTTAACATTAATCGGTTCATCATATCAATGAAACTCAATAATCTCCACAACTTTATACTGATTATGAAAAATTTTAATCATTAAACTCTTGGAACCTGTTATTTAAATGAAATTTACTAATTTTAGATGTATTATTTAATAGTCAATAATTATTTAGACTGTATCAAACTAATATGAACATCAATGATAATGGTTTACTCCTATTGACATGCTGAGAGTGATTCGGTTAGAATTAACTAACATAATAAACCCAAACTATTTTCTAGTAACTTTTTAAAAATGCTTTATGAATTGTTGGTTTGTTAAAGTGGAATTATGATCATTCACAAACAACTGATTCACTATAATAAATAAGAAATTTCGTCTAAATTTGACCGAATAGTTTCACAGTATTTGGGCGACGAGTTGATGTGAGTCATTAAAGAGGAAGAATGTATTTGGAAAAGCTTGAACAAGTTTACCAGGCGAAACGTTGGATTTACTTCAAATTTTTTTGCTGAGATTTTACAAATACGTTCTTCCTCTTTTAATGCCAACTGATTCATTGTTTTGAAAAAAAAGAACGAACTATACTGTCAGGCGAAATCAAAATTATGTTGGAAATTGTAATAAATATTGATTTATGCCAGTATTTATCATGATTGTCGAGTCATAATTAATATAATACTCATTGTAACGGAAAACACGACTGGCATGTTAATAATGTGAAGATGAAAACAACATTTCAGAAGAAGACTGATTTATTCACGAACCACTGTTTAATATCAAAAACAATAACTTTTATATACAAATATATTTATAGCTTTGAATGTTTAATCAATAAATAAATTTGAACTAGGAGTTAATTATTGATCAATAAACTGATACGTGTATATAATCTATAAAATCAATAAATGAACTGTCTTAGCTGAAAAAAAGTGTATACCATCAGTGAATTTATGTATTTGTTTGCTTCCTGGCTAAGATACAAAACAACATGATTAGAAAAGATTTAAGTGAAAAAG